CTCTCTCTCTCTCTCTCTCTCTCTCTCTCTCTTTCTCTCTCTCTTGCTCATCTAATGGCGAATTGCACCGTGTATCTGCGTTAACACTGCCATCTTATCCGTTTCCTCCCCCTCGACCCCCTTCCTCCTCAGCGAATCCATCGTCTCATCTGGTCGCTTCTGTTTCGCCCATCTGCACAAATCTCCAATCTCCCCGGATCCCATTATTTGCTTTCAAACTATTTAGATCGCATTCCGATTGCAAATTCGATACGCCAATTGATCAAGACGTTTTATTTCAACCGGAGATTTATTGATTTGTCCATTTGACGTCCGGGGAAGTCGAGTGATGGGGGCTCAAGGAGTTTTTAGGATTGACTGAGGCTCGATCCGATGCGAAAAGTCATTTCGATTTTGCAACAAAAACTTTCTAATAGCGTATTGAATTGCTGGACGCAACGGCCGAGAGCGAAAAGTGGATTTGGTGTTGCGAATTATTCTTTTCCTGCACTTCTCATCAAAATGAATTCTGTGGTTTTGATCAAACCAGAAACTTTTGATATGCGGTTGGACGACTGGAGTACGAATTTGGCTAGAGACGTATTTATTTCCGAATTCATACCGGACAGCATCATTTTATTATATCCAAATTAATCTCTCTTTCAGTCGGTCAACTCCAATTTCAGTCGCATTTGCAACCGAAAATTGGGGCGAATGATGTTCAACTGCAAATGTTGAAGGAGAATTTCATAGAGGGAAAATCAATTTCGACATTCGGCATTGAGAATATCGTTCCCATTGATGATTCAGTGAAATGAATTATGATCCCACGAAACTCGCGGAATTTCGAATTTTCATTTCCCACTCGTCACCCGGAATTCAATCCTCGATTTTTAAAAACTCAAATACAATATTTATACCTCAATTTTCCCTGAATGGTTGCGCTGCCAGTTAAATCGTTCCGGAAATACAGTCGGCAAAATACTCACATGAAAATCAACCGGAATAAATTTAAAACTGAAACCCCGGTTGAGGCAATGGTACAACAGGATTAAATCTGTAACGATTTCAACCTGACCAATTTCCATTAGCGCTTGCCAACGTCATTTTGGGCTTAGGAAATGGCAGTTACGGACGCAGTTGACCAGCGGTTTCGCTAATGCATTTGGACGGAATGACGCGTTCGACGAACTGATGGACACAATACGAAAATATTCCCCCCGAATGTCGCTGATTCATCCCTCTGCATATTGCGCATTTCAACTTTTTTTCGTGTACAGCGTTGCCAGCGTCATGTTCCACTGCGCAAATCCCCATGAGTATGTCAGGCTGATAAATACCCTGTGGAAATAAAATTCAACTGTCGGATATTTCAATTTTTTTTATCGAATGGAAAAATTGACTTTATTCCGGTGGAAAAGTCTCGGACCATTTTATATATTCCACGGACGTGAGGTTGTTGGGACTGTTAAGGTATATTTCAATTTTGTTTTGCGATTGTCCGCATGGTTTTCATTGGTAATGTTTACAATATTTCCCAGATGATGAAAATAATTTTAAGTAGCTGCAGTATACAGGAGATAATCAGGAGATAATAAATAATGAGATGAGGGAGGCATACACACTGTTGGAAAATTACTGAAATTCAAGTAAAAAGTCTTGACAAAGATTGACCTAGACATCTCTCTTATGAACTTTGGTTTTGAACTCTCGTTTCTGTGATTTCCCTCAGATCACGAGGTGTTCCCCGAAAACTCAGCAAGAAGCTAATTCGACTCGAAACGTTTTACCGAAAACTTGATTATTATTTCTCTACTGAAATAATAATGACGTTTTCATGATTTGAATTCAGAAAAGGATCAACTTGGTCTAGTAAAATAAACCAACTTCTTCAACGCCGAATACAGCATATAAATCGGTATTTAGCCGCTGGAGAAACGCGTTATTTTCAAATTCTTGAAACTCACACCAGAAAAACGAGAATTTCCGAACTCACAAAGGGAATGGGAATGGTACCACTTGAATCGCGATAGTACCAACGATCATTCACTTCCGGGTGGCCTGAACGCGCCTTTCCCAACGATGTATAACCGCATCAAGCGGAAGAGAGTCGGACGACATCACGATCCAATGGGAATGGCCCAATGGTACAACCGTTAGAGCAAAATCTTCCATTCAATTTTTTCGTCCCTATCAATCCCGCGGATTCCCCTTGCAATCTTCAATGTCACTCGACAAACCACTGGATATTCTTAGATTTTTCCGAGCGACTTCGTCAGGTGAAATTTGGAATAACAATTAGCCGTGAATTTTCGCAATTTAAATCGGTTTTTCTTCAGTTCTGAAAATTAATCGCGCGGCCACTGGTGCTTGCGTGTCAATCGATGAGGCTCGTTGCACCACTCTATATTTCTCGGGATTATGTACCGATTCGGTGCTCCATTATGTCGAGTTAAAACATACATTATGTGGGGAGTGCGAGGAAAAACTTTTCGATTTTTGTGATCGAGGGAATTAATTGAGTTTCGGGATTTTCATTTAATTTGCGAGCATGTTCGGTGAGTTCATTGGGTGAGAATGAATAATGACGGAAAAATTTCGGGTAATTGATGGGCTCAATGCAATTAATTTTGTTAATTGGATATTTTACGGGATTTAATTGGGTTTGATGAGGCTTGAGAAGAAAAGTAATTCGTTGGTTTCGATGGGAATTGGGAATTCCATTCGGCAGTTGAATTTTTTCAGTGAATACATATTTCTGGAGAACATTTTTTCACTTCATAGGCAAGCTAAGCGGGGCTGATCATGATCGATCGTAACTCGGCGTCTCTCACATCCCGCGGCTGACAAATTACCCGGCGAAAGGGAGAGTCAGCCTGGCTGTACACACCCCCGCCTCATTTCTCTACCTCGAGGACTCGGCGATTTGTTTTTCATGATAAAAAGTGATTTTTTTCCGTCAACTCCTGGTTCATTCCCTCCGGAGATTGAAAATTGTTGGGAATTACGCGAGATTTGTTGCAATTTTCGTGATGATGAAGTGATTCTAGAGAGAATTTCGATATTCAGGTGATCAATCCCTATTTTTTTATCAAGATATGAAATTAATCCGTGAAAAACAATTTTCCACGCTTATGAACAAATTTCATTTTACGTTAAAGTATTTCCTAAGAGAATACCACCGAAAAATTCTACAAAAAATTTCCACTGAAATTGTACGGAATTTTCTCATTAAAATTGTCAATTTCATGGAGAAATTCATGGGAACTGTAAATTTCGATTCAATTATTCCGGGTAAAATTAATGAAAATTCCTGAAGATCTCTGAATTTTAAAGAATTCTTTCAAAAATTTCTGGACTTCTGGAAATTGTTTCCAGCAATTCCAATGAATGATTTTATGAATTTCCTGAGCACCAAAAAGCTCCATCAGCTGAAAAAAAATTCAACTCCCCAAACTCCGAGCGCGGCCAGTTCACCAACCCCTAAAAACAAGCAAACAAGAGCTGAAAAACTCACACGGCTTAATATATTCCCCAGTTTCATTCCGAGTAACTCTTTCCTCTGTCCACGGCTCTGCGGGTGAAAATAACGAGTCGAGCAATGCAGAGTTATGAAAAGATGTCTCTTGGAAAAAAGCATCCCCCCTCGCCGAAAAAAAAAACAGAAGTAAGTGAAGGGGTGCATCGCAGTGTATAAGACCGTTCGTTTTGTCCCAAGAGAGTTGCAACGACCGCGAGACGAGTTCAACGCATTTCTTTTTACCTCTCTTTCATACCCCGTACCCCGTATAACCGACACAGCCTCATGCCAGCAGGCGACATTGTTTTTCCAAGCTTTCACGTTGCTCGTACGTACATATACATACACGCTGATATTTTTGTTGTACCTGTTATCCCCTCGTTTTTCCAAGAAAAATACATTAAAACGAGTTTCAAACGTCCGCAGGATTTCTATACTTTTCTTTTTCACTTTTTCCCCTCATCATTCTGGTTCAACGTTTATACACACGTTGATATTGTCACTTCAGTTTGTGCCTTTGGTCGTGTCGAGCCATTGCTGGAGATGCCGTTTGAAGAGACTCTCTCGTGTGCTGATAGAAAAAAAATTATTTTATTGAGAATTTTTTTTGCTTGGAACTAATTTTTCAAAATCAAGATCTTATGGGGAATATCAATTATTTGTTCATGTTATGGAACACGAATAAACGAATCATAATTGTCCAAATCATTTAGGTCTGACGAAAATAGAATAATTCTACTTTCTCAATATTGCGTTTACTAAGGTTTTCTTCGAACAAAGTTGATTAGAATTAATAGCTAGAATTATGAGATTATCTCACATTTTTGACGTTAAGGACACGAGAATCTGAATGCAATATAGTGAAAATGATTTACCAGAGTATCAACAAACATTGAATTCCAAAGATTCACACTCTAAAGTGTGTTCTAGAAGGAATTAAATTGTAATTATGATTAAAATCTTATTCAGTGAGCATAGGAATTAGAACATGAGCAAATCATTTATTGTAATATGAAAATTTAACAGCTGATAAATTGGAACGTATGATTCTCATCGGTCGTGTTGCTTTTTGCAATGAGAATGATTATAAACAACTAATTGAAAAAAGGAATATCATAAAATATGTTTGACAATATGAGGAGCCATCTATAAACAATCAAGAATAATATCCTGCAGTTTGTACACTCATTTCTCGCACTCAGTGACTTCCTCCACTTGTTCTCATTCAAAAATCCAAAGTTTCCATTAGTTGGAGAGAGAAAGGGGCGGCGTTGGGGGCACGAAATTCACACAATGAGTGGAAATTCAGGTCCTTACCCTCTTTGTATACATGAGAACTTAACAAACAACCTGGGAAGTTTCACTGCTACGTGAAATAATAATGATCATTGCTGTGCCGAGAGATCCCTCTGTTTTCTCGGAGTTTTATGAGTTTTCCTTTTTTTTCGAGGACCAAAGTCAATATTGAGAGTTTCCGCAATATTTCCAGGGCTGTTTTTGTTCCACGGTAATTTGGGATGAGTTTAGCTACCCGGGAGATCGATAAATCTGATTGGAGCGAGTTGAAGGGATTGAGTGGGTCAACAGAACTGATGGAAATATTATTTGCAATTAAGATTAAGTATTCGTCGGGGCTAATTGAACCTTTGAACAATGAAAAGCTTTCGTTGATATATCAAGAAATATTTCAAGAAAATATTGATCTGAGTTTTCCTCATTTTCATTAAATTCCTCGGAATAACGGACCTGCAATTTAGTTTTTATTGAAAGTTTGAATTCTCAATGACGAAATTCACTGAAAAATACGAATAATTTGAAAAGATAATCCAAACTCCGAAGAAATTCAATCAAATCATTCACGATCGAATCGAGATAACCCCCGATGTTATGATTACCCTCGGAGTTCCCCTCACCTCCGGAACCCAATTAAAAAAAGCCCCAAAAAAATTATTAAAATAATTACGGAGCGCAACTGTGGATGGCTTGAGCCGGTTGCCAGCGCCAACACGCGATGAAATCTGATAAATCCCAGTGAGATCGAAGATTGCATTCCATCGGTGCGTTGGAAGACAGAATGCACCGACTCATCGTATTACCTGGACTACCTCTAACCCCCCTCCCCCCTTCCTCTTTTGTTTTTACTTTCTTTGTTCAACCGCAGTAAAGTAGATCGATGACATTTGTGTTGCGGTAACACAAGCTCTCGAGTGCGGTCTGGCGTAGGGGAAAGTGGGGTCATTCCATACTCCCTCCCCCTCCCGCCCCTTTCTGTGAGGATTACTTCAGTAATTAGTGCACTGCAAAAATTGAGGTTTGAATTTCAGTCATTTTTTCAGTCATTTTTGACACCTCATAAAAAATAATCCACCGTTTTACAAACAAGTTTTATTATTTATTTATAAGAGGGAAATGTTTGAAAAAATATAAATATTTTGCGAAATTTAATCTAGATAATACTGACTGGGTATGAATTTTTTCAAATTTTTTCCATGCAATTTAGTGGAAAAATTTGAAAACTGAAAATATCCAAAAGTACAGCGCGGCCCGGCCGAAGGGTAGAGCTACTTTAAAACGACTGAAATCGTCAGACATTTTGGAGAATTTCAGACAATTCTGGTGATTCATTTATGATGTAGAACCCATTGTTTTTGCAGTGTAACAATCATAGAAATTCAATTGCAATCCAAGCGTGTTTTGCATTCCCCGAGCCCCTCGTGTATTCGAGCACGTACGTTAATACAGCCCTCTGATTATGCGCGCTTCAATTTCAAATATTCGGGAATTGCGAACTGTCAGTGGTAAGGTACAATGAAGCCGTAAGCTGGATTCACCGGTTGAGAGGGGCTTTTGCCTTTGTCGAGGGGCTCAGTGCAGGCGACCAAAACTATGGTGGAAGGAGAGGTTTCGATAAATTCCTGTTGCCGAAACCACTCTGAATGCACAAGTGCATGTGTATGATGCCTTCGAAAACAACTGAAATTTTAGTCTGGTTATGTCTGCTCAGCCGTGAGGCCATCATGTATTAAGGTATTCTTGGCGTGGTCAGGGGAGATCGAAAAAAAGTCCTAGAATTTTTTATGCATTCCTTAATCTATTCCAAAAGCCTGTACAAAATCCCAGAAAGCCTAGGAGAAGGGTTAAAATGCAGGAATTATTATAAAAATGCAATTCAACACGTGCTCCTAGGGAAAATCAGAAAGAATGAGAAAACGCATTGAAAAAATGTCGCCATGTTCCTGAAATTTTGCATGTAGGTGGAGTTTTCATCAGAGAATATTTTGCGAAAAAATTCAAGTGGCCCAGGAGAATTGTTTAGGAGGGATCATTAAAAAACTCGTGAAAAATAGAACTTCTGCGTGCGCAGCTTGGAATAGCGACAACGTCGAGGTTAGAAATCGTGGAGGGGCAAGCGCGGCAAATACAAATGGAGTTGTGATGATATATTTCGCTGTGGGAAAGAACACAACAGCTGAGTGAATCAGTGCTGCCAACTCATACCTCGAGCGGCACAACGCTGTCACTTTTTCTATCCATATTAATTATCTTCCGATTTTCCGAAAGACAAACTATAAAAATTAACAAAGGCTTGAATTATGTATAAAAAAATTGAAAAGTTGTTAAAAAAATATTTCGAACCCAAAAGTTTTCGAAACAGATTAAAATTTTTCAATTGAAATCTCGTCATTTGTTCAGTGATTGGTTGTCCGCGAACAATAGATCCCCTCGCCATAAATACCTCCAGATTCCTCAGAATATCTATAATGCAAGTCTTCATGTCTCAATTAAAAACCCCAAAAACCACTCGAAAAGGGGAGAAAAGTATCTCAACCTCCGACACTATTTTCTCCAGCGAAATTGTTCTAATGAAACGGTCCACAAATTTCAATGAACAAAGGCTTCCATGAAAAAGTCCCCAGAAACCTCAACAAAACCCGTCGGCAATAACTGCCTCTCATTTCCCTTTCATTCATCAGTGACCTCCGGGTGCAGAAAGAAACTCACCCCCAACCCGGAGACCGAGAGACCTCCGACTGAATAAAAAGAAAAAAAAACACCGGAAAAGTATTCGAATAGAGGGATAAAAGTCAACCCAGCGGAATATTTCACGTTGAACAGTAGACGAAGTTAAGAACACGAGGGGGAGAGAAAAAAATAGTGGAGAGGAAAACCGTGTGTGGAAAAGGAGTGGCCCCGAGCGGCCGTAAAATCAACAGGTCTGTGTGTGTACGCTCCGTGAAAAGGCGCTGGGCGAAGTTTTAATACTGCCGCCACCCTCTGCCCCTCGACGGCATACGCAAGAGAAAGGAGACAGCGAGTAGATTGCAAAAAGGGAATTCCGCCCGAGAAACGAATTTTCAAAGGAATTAATCCAGTGGAGGAAAAAAAAAGAGGAGGAAATATCGGTTAATTCTCTGCTGGACCTCGGCACGGGGCGATATAGCCACGAAATATCGGAGGATTGGACGCGGAGGAGGATGTAGAGAAGTAAAGTGAGAGATTGTAAAGCCAGAACGATGCTAGCTTGCGTTTATCCGGCGGAGAGCTTCAGGACGAAAGCCGTTACGGTGAAGCTGAAGCACGGTGGAAGGTCCAAGAAGAAAACAAAGTTGCTGTCGGTGAAGGAGAGACCCGGCATCGCCAAGCCCGATGTTCCTGTGACTCCTTTGACGAACAATGAGGTAGGTCGGTAGTGGTGGAAACCCTTTTCTTTTTCGTATTTTGTGGACTCTCGGCGTTGAATCGGAGTCGGAAAAACATTTTGTACGCCCGAAAATAATGACAGACTTGTAGAAATTTTTGTCTGAAATATCCGGTACACTTTTCGGAAATTTGAGCGAATTTAATTATCACTGGAATTTCAAGGAATTTTGTCATTGAAAATTCGGGATTTCGTGGAGAAATGAAAGAGAACTGTAAATTTCAGTTCCAGTTTTCCCTGAAAATGAATAGAAAACCAGAAAATTCTGGTAAATATATTCTTGGATTTTCAGGAGAGTGACACTGAATGCGATTTAGGGGGGAAAAAAATAATGAAATTTCAGATTTCACTGAAAATTCAATGTAATTTGGCACTGAACATTCATATTAGACTTGAAATGCAAATAAATTGAGGAATTCTCGTCTTTACGCTGCTTAAAATTCTGGAATTTCACTGAATTTTCAGAGAATCCTGAAATATCATTTTTTTATAACAGTGCATGTTTAATTTTGAGACTTGCGATCTCAAATTGGGACTTGTGCATGTCGCGATTTGAGATTTAAAATGTCTTAGATTAATGTAAAAACCTGAAAATCCCGGATTTTCTAGAAATTAAGACAGTTTGGGAAACATGCAAAAAAGTGTTTTCAAGAAAAAAAATTCAGAGCTTTCCCAAAAAAATTGAAACAATGCGGCAATTTTCGAAAAAATTCAAGAACATTCTCCGGTGTTCGGAGAATTTCAGGAAATTTGAGACGTTTCCAAAATAAAATCTAGAAAATCCTAGAATTATCAACAGTTTTCAAAAAAAATCCGCGATTTTCCAAAATTTCTGTAAAATTTCAAAAAAAATGATGAAAATAAAAAAAAAATATTATTAATATTTCTCATTCATTTATCCATTGGGTATTTTTTTTGCAATTTTTCAATTTTTTTTTTTATTGTTGACAATTCTAGGATTTTCTAGATTTTATTTATCTGTTTTATTTATTTATTTTGGAAAACAATTGACTCCAACAACAAAAAAGGAAGCCCTAAACACTGAAGCTATTGCCATCGCCCATGCTAACTACAAACATCCGGAGAAAATGCTATTCCATTACTAATTGAAACGTGTGCCCACCCGCTTATTCTCCCAAAGTCATCAAACCTGCGATCAATACCACTCAAATTACCGTCTCTTCCTCCATCAACCGATTATCAGAACTAATCTTCCGTTCTGTTGTTGGACCGAAAAAAATAATACACGTGAAAAATGTGGCAAACAGAAAGAAGAAAAACTTCCGAGCGATCTATCACTTTCTGGAGTAATAGATCATAAAGTGGAGTCGCAATGAGTGATAGACGAGGCTAAGAAATACAGGGATTCTTCCCACACCGCAAATGTCCTCCGGAGTAATTATTTTCCGAATCTCGTGGAGAATAATCTCCCCCGAGACTCCGGCGTTATCCTTTTCATCTGCCTTCCTTTCGGTTTCCGATAGCAACCCAACCCTCTATAAAAGACATCAGATATATCCTCAGTGTCATCATTTTTTCCTCTTCCTCTTCCTCCGTGATACTGTACTTTTTTTCACAGGCAGTGAAATGCGAGAGATTGGGAAAAGAGGGACCACCTGCCACACATGATACACAGGCACATCTGAGCAATAGTTGAGAGATATTTTCGCTCGAGGAACAGTCTGCAGGCCACTGAGACTGCTTGACAAATAGTATATGTTCAAAAAAAAGAGAGAAATGGGTTTTGCGGGGGAAGAGGACATTTTCAGGGAAAATGCCCCTCTGGGGAGTCGATTATCGCACTGGATTTTTTATCCATAAGCATTGTGGATGATATTCCGATATTTGATGGAGTGGAGTTGATAAAAATCATGGGGAAAATCGCGGTAAATTTTAATGTACGAAGGGTAATTGAGGAGTGAAATTTCAATTGAATAAAAAAACACGTGTGTTGATGGCAAAATTATTGTTCTCTGTGGATCGAAAAAAAAAGTCTTATTTTGGGATTTATGATCTCAAATTAAAACATTTAACAGTCCAATGGAATTGACGTGCTCGACCACATGTTTTCGAGTTATTGAAATTCCTTTGGGGCGTATTCAGGTCATATTCGTTTTGACAGGCAAAATTATAATACAGAATTAAAATTATTTTATTGCATATAAAATCAGGTAACCGTATTCCACAATTTTTCAAATTTTATTATAATTTTTATTACATTAATTATGAATTAACTTTTTCAATTTTTCAAACATTGAATTAATCATAAATCAAATTTTTTAATTTCTCAAATATTTTATAAATCGGTAATCAACTTCGCAAGAATGATGATTATTTAATTAATTGCAAAATCAAATTCAGATTTTTGGAATTAATTGGTTAATTATAATTGAGAATTGAAAATTATTTTAAAATTTAAATTGTAAAGTAAGGAACTGTGATTATTCTGTGGTAAACTTCTTTTAAAATTACTTATTATTAACAATTTTTGCCATTGACAGCTCAGAATGAATTTTTTTTATTTTTATTTTATTTTTTATTTTTTTTTATTTTCTGTTCTTAGTAAGAATTTCGGATTTTTATGCAACAGATTGGACGTCAACAACAGTCATTCAATCATGTAATTACTATTTTTCTCCAGAATTTCTTTTAGAATAAAAAATTTCCCTGAAGAGGAATGCCTTCAGCATTTGAAACATAGCGCAATTTGATTAGTGAATTTGATTATTTTTTGTTGCTACTAACCTGAACATGGCCCAAAGGAATTTTAATAACTCTAAACACTCTCCCGTTCAGACCTTTGAAAATCTCATTCTAAAACCTTTGAAACATTGAAAAAAATTATTATTTCGGATGTCAGAATCCGTCATCCCTCCCACGTATTCCCCTCCACCGTATAAATATTATTTCACCCCTTAAAAACTTCCATAATTCTCGCTCAATGAATAAGAAAATATTTGAGAGGCACAATTTCCTTGAACAAACCCAGACCATCTGGCTCATTAATTACCTCGAAAGTAAAAAAAATGAATTCAAAGTCAACATTAATTTTTTCCCTCTCTCCTCCACTCGTCCTTCCTCCCTCAACGCCCGGTGGAATTTTCAGATCGTTCCACAAACTTGAACAATTCCAATTTAGTCAAAAATTCAGAGGGTTGAATGGAATAAACATTATGGAGTGACATAGAAATAGGGAGAAGGGAGGAATGCGTCCTGTCGTCGAGTTTAAAATCCGATGGAAACCGGGGGAAAATCCCGACGGCAGGAGTAATCAAGAGTCTGCCAACGGTGAAATTAATCAGGGGAGCTGGATGAAACTGGAGACGGTTTGGAGGCTTGAGGGGTTTATATGGGAGGAGCCACCATTTAAGCATGCAAATAAATTGTTGTGAGTCTGTCTCACTGCCAGGCAACTCTCGCTGATGCACCTCTTTACCGGATTTATGCCAGTGTAGGAGGCGTTCATGGATTAAATTTGAAGAGATCGGGGGGGAGTGGGGTTTATGTCATTCTGGTGACTCTTCAGCCAACACTCGCTCCGAGTCTTCTGACGGGTTTACCAGGGCGACACTAACATCATTCTGCTTTTGCTGTTTTCACTCTCGTTGACACTCGGCAAACTCACTCGTGGGGCGGGTCCAATGTGCGAGTTAGAACGGGGTTTCAAACTGTTTCTGTTTATCATGAAACAGTCAACTTGGGGTTGGATTTGGAGACCGCGGTTTTGGCTGCACTGGTCAAAATTTTGCACTGAAATTTAAGGTTGGAGTCTTAGAAATATCTGACAAGTACCAAAAAGTCAGATCTTGGATTTTGCCGTGAAACTAGTTTCACGGATATTTCGAGAAATTTTGTCTAAAATTCGTAATTTCGTGGAAAAATTCAGGAGAATTGTAAATTTAAGATTAATTATTCCGAGAAAATTAAGAAAAAAACTCATGAATAAAAACGAAAAAATTGTGTACAAACTCCAGAAATATATAATCGTCATCCCCAGGAAATTTCAAAGTCTCCAGATATTCCCGGTGACTTGGCGCAGTGGGTAAGTTCGTTGCCTCACGGGTAGAATGGTGGGATCTAACCATTTAAAGTCTTGATCATCATCGCAGTATCCCCTAACCGGGTCGAAGCGATGTAAAATAATTTTAAAAAAAGTCTCCAGATAATTTAAACTATTAAATGCGCTAATTTAAACTATTAGAATGGAAAGCAGTGACAGTCGAATCTTCTGCTACTTTCAGCTTGATGAATAATAAAATAGTTCTGCACACTTGGTCCCCCTAAACAGATAATTTTACCGTGAAAAACTCCACTGAAAACGTAACAAAATAACGTAAAAATTTAACGACATTCGTCGCCACTGAATAAGTATATTTGCAACGGGGAACTGCGAAATACACTTATCCCAGTGCAACAGTAGCTCGTGGATTCCTCACCATTAGCATTAATGACACCCATTTTACCCAGCGCCGCATGCACACTCCCATCCCCAGGGATTTGAGCACCATTTTACCTCAAAAACTGAATGTATATCCGGCGAGGTTAAAAAGGAATCTCTACTTCGGGGAAATATACACACCGGTATATTCCACCTTGCCTCGTCATAATTGAGCGTCCGCGAATCCATTAAAAATATTGCCCCACGAATATTCATGCACCCGCCCGTGGAATATTTTTTTTATCTAAAAATAAGTATCTCCACACTCGAGAGAGTATCGAACTCCCTGAAAACTGAATAATAAAAACAAAAAGTCATCTCCACTCTACGCATATATTTTTCAACATCAAAGGAATGAGCCCTCGTATTTCTTCTCCACCGCAAAAAAGAAAATACAAACGAGAGAAATAAGATGAAAATAAGATAGTGCGAGATGGGAAAAAGAATTCTTAAGCTGAGAATTTTATTTTCTATTCAAAGAAGTACCTTTTTTGAGGGTCACATGACACAGAGAGCAATTTTTTCCCGACATCTGTAGAGAA